GCTCGCGACGGCGACGGCCAAGTGGGCCTGCGACGACGCCGCGCTGCGCGACGAGCTCAAGGCCGACCTCAAGCGCCTCGTCGCGGACCCCTGGGAGGCGTTCTACGCGCGCAACGCGCACCGGCCCTTCTCGTCCAAGCACCAGGACAAGTACACGCGCTGGGCGCCGAGCCTCGTCGACGCGGCCCTCGACCGCTGCTTCGACCCGGGCCGCGCGACCGCGCCGCGGCGCCCCTCGACGCACTGGGCGGGCGCGGCGGCCCAGGCCGCGCTGCCGCCGTAAAGGTGGGGGGATTTTGATTGTGTCTGGCGGGGAATCAACATGCTCAGGCTGGTTAGTCCCAATCGTCATATTTCGGTGTCCCCGGCACGCGACGCGGCGCAGGATCAACTTCCGGTTCGGGCAGGAGGTCCCAGTCGGCGAGATCGCCCTCGAATTCGCCGTGGTTCGGATCGCCGTCGAACTCGACGCGACGGAGGCGGGTCATGGCGGGATTGCGACCGTCGGGCGTCTTGAGCTTCGCTTTGAGCCTCGAGATGTAATCGCGGCCGTTCCGCCCGCGCATGTCGTTCACGGGGCGACCCCAATCTCGCACAGCGCCGGCCGCGAGGAGTTCGGCGCCGCCACAGTCTTGGTCGAAAGTTCGGTCTTCGGTCTGGCCGGGGTCGCCGAGCTGGACCGGCTCCGCGCGGAAGGAGTAATCCGTTGCCCAGACAAACTCGAAGACATCGCCGAGGAACTGGCGGCGCAGCAAATGGTCCATGCGCTTCGTGATGCGAGCTAAAACTGCGAGGCCGGTCCCGGCGACGAATTCGATCTTTGGGGCTCCGTCCGCGAGGTTTCGCACAAGCGCGTCGATCACGATCGTACGGGCCGTACGGAGCTCGAAGGAGCGGACCCCTGAGTCCTCCATCCACGACTTCCGTCCGAAACGGTCGGTGAAAGATCTGAGACCCGTGCCGCACGCAAACAGGTGGCCAGTCCGGAACGAATAGGACAGAGACTTCACGTTGAGGTGGGACGAGTCGTGCTCAGATACGAGACGGCCGGCGCCGGCGCAGTGATAGATGCGCACCGAATTACCGGATTTGTTGGCTTGCTCATCTGACGCAATGGAGCTGACTTGGCCGTAATCGTCCTCTTCTGCGAACTCGAACCCAACAGCCAGCAAAGTATCATCGACAAAGACCACGGAGCTGGGCCGTTGCCAGCGGCGACAGGCGATCACGGACAGGATCCCCTTCGACATGATGTTGCGCACGTACACGAAGCCATTGTGCAGAGCGTAAGCCACGAACCACGCGTCGGGCGTGACCGAGACGCCGGAGATTTTCGTACGTTCGTGCGCGGGAAACGTGAGGGCCGCGCACGACGTGACGTCAGCTACGTTCTCACCCTCGCGGAACAATTCGTACACGGTCACGGTCCCAGCAATAGCTTGCTGTGTCTTGCCGGTACCGAGCGGGATACGCTCGTAGGCGACGGCGAGGTACGAAGACTGACCTTCGGAGTCAGTCGCTTGAAAATTCTTTGAGAAAACGAGAGTCGTCGCGCACCAATTGAACGGCCGTTTCGACAGCTTGCCGATGCCGCGACCGCAGCCGAGCGTCGCCCACTCGTCGAGCTCGTCCGTTCCCGCTGGCGCAAGGTACTCCAAGAGGCCCCGCTCGGCGGGCGCATACAATTCTACCTTCGATCCGCCCGTCGTCACGGCGAACACCTCGCCGTCTGGGGACCAGGCGAAGCAGGCCACGGGCGGCATGCCGGGCGCGCAGTTCTCCACCACCTTGATCGACCGGATGCGCCGCCCCGTCGCCGTCAGGAACTGCGAGATGTAGCACCCGCTCGCCGCGGCGTAAGTCTCGCCGTCGGGCGAGAAGCCGACGCCCGCGGTCCCGTGGGTCATCTTGTGCGTGCGATGCAACCGACCGTCGCCATCCGCTCGGTCAAGCCGCCACAGGCGCAGCAGCGACGAGCCGAACGGATTGCGCGCCGCCGTGAGCATCCAGTCGCCGTCAGGCGACACAGCGGCCTCGGCCACGCGTGTTTCGTGGTCGGATAGCCAAAAAACTTCGACGTCGTCGCTGCTGACGCTATTGTCAGTCATCGCGCGGTGCGGCGACGAGCTCTGGGTCCGCAGGGTGGCTGCCGCGGCGAGGCCACTCACGATTTGGAGCTCAGACTGCAGAGGCTCGGGTCGAGCTCGAGGCCTGCACCATGCAACAGATATGCAACGTCGGCTTAGGTGAACTTCGTTGCAGCGGCCTGGGCGAGCACCGCGAGACCTGCTTGATTTTAGGGTGCCAGCTATTTGCATGGGCGGGTGGGAGTGAGGCCGATCAGTACAGGCAGATGCCGCACCCGAGCTGGGCAGCGCGTCTCGTTGGTGCTCGCCGCGGATCGCAGCGGGTGGATGCCAGCTGATCGCAATGGACCTGGCCGTCCGGCAGCGCGTCTCGTCGGCGCTCGGCGCAGATCGCGGCGTTGGGTGCTAGCTGCTCACTGCCTTCTTGCGCCAAGGCGTTCGATTCAAGAGTACCTTGAACTGCACGTTCAGCAGTCGCCGATTGCCAGAGAGCTCTCTGCGCTTTAGCTGAGCTGGTCGCGCCGCGAGGCAACTACCGCCAACTCGATCTGGTCGCGTTACCCACGACCCTAGCACCAAGCACCGCACCTCCATCAAAACGCAAAGTATGTCGCGGGCGAGGGCCTTCGCCGCGGCGGGCCTGCTGCCGACGTCGCTGCTCGGCTGGGAGCTCTACGCCTACGTCGACAAGGTGCAGCGGTCGCGCACCAAAAAACAGACGCCCAAGCTCGTCGAGGGGTCGACGCTCTGGCTCGCGGAGCGCGAGGCCCAGACCCTCGACGTCGTGCTCTTCCGGCGGCGCCTCGGCGCGTTCGGCCCGTCCGCCGCGCTCGCGGACTTCGCGCACCAGCGCGTCGACGCGTCGGCGCCCTACGACGGCGTCGGCGTCGTCGTCGTCGAGCGCGACGGCGTGCCGCGCGTGCTCCGCGCGGGCATGGACGGCGCCGTGACCTGCGCGCCCCTCGCGGCGGTGCTCAAGGACACGGCCGACTACGACGAGGTGCTCGTCAAGCCGCTCGCGTGGCCGGACCGCGGCGAGGCCGTCGCCGACGCGCGCAAGTTCGCCGCGGGCGCCGTCGTGCGCTGCGGCGGCGGCGACGGCGGCGCGCGCGGGCCCTGGGACACGCTCGCGGACGCGCGCGTCGCGCCGCTGGTCCTGCCCCGCGAGGCCTGGCCGCGGCCGCCGGGCGGCGGCGGCCCGCTGCGGGCGCGCGTCGACGGCGCCGTGTCGCCCGGGGCGACGCTCGTCCTCGAGCTACTCTGCGCGTGCAACGTCGTCGCGCCGCAGCACCGCGACGCCGCGCTCGTGCCCGCGGACTTCGCCAACGACGCCGTGCCCCTGCGCCGCGGCGCGCGCTACGCGGCCCACGTCCTCACGGTCAAGGCGCCGAACTTCGCCGCGCCCCAGGAGTAAAAACGAGGGCACCTACTTCGGGACCTTGAATGGTGCAGTCCGACTCGCTCTCAGAGCAGCATGAGCTCCAGCTCGGTGGTGAGCATCTTCCTCGTCGTCGCCCTTGCGTCGGCGGCGGAGTACGTCTGCACGGAGCGCGCGCCGCTGACGTCGACGCGGCCGCGGCCGAGCGTCGACGGCGGCACGAGCCTCTTCATCGGCGGGAAGCTCACGCCCTGGGAGGGCAAGGTCGTCGACGTGCTGTCGCCGGTCTACGGCGAGGACGGGACCCAGGCGGTCATCGGGTCGCTGTCGGCCATGGACGGCGGCGCGGCGACGACGGCCGCCCGCGCGGCGGCCGCCGCGTGGGACCTGGGCCAGGGCCCGTGGCCGCAGAGCTCGCTCAAGGACCGCGCGGCGGCGCTCGGCGCGTACCTCGACGAGCTCGAGGCGACGGCGCGGGACGCCATCATCGAGACGCTCATGTGGGAGATCGCCAAGTCCGAGAAGGACGCGGCCAAGGAGTTCGACCGCACGGTCGCGTTCGCGCGGACGGTCATCGCGACGGCGCTCGAGGGCGACGCGGCGGAGCCCTTCGGGGCCTGGACGGGCCTGGGCGGCGTGCGGGGCCGCGTGCGCCGCGGGCCCGTGGGCGTCGCCCTCATGCTCGCGCCCTTCAACTACCCGCTCAACGAGATGTACGCGATGATGATGCCCGCGCTGCTCATGGGCAACTGCGTCATCCTCAAGCTGCCGGCCATCGGCGCGCTGGCCCACGTCCTCACCATCGAGGCCATCCGCAAGACGCTGCCGCCGGGCGTCGTCAACTTCGTGTCCGGGTCCGGCCGCGCGACGCTGCCGTCCGTCATGGCGTCGGGCGTCGTCGACTGCCTCGGCTTCATCGGGGGCTCCAAGGGCGCCGACGCGCTCATCCAGCAGCACCCGCGGCCCCACCGCCTCAAGGTCTTCTCCCAGCTCGAGGGCAAGAACCTGGGCGTCGTCTTCGCGGACGCGGATCTCGACGCCGCCGCGGACCAGATCGTGCTGGGCGCGCTGTCGTACAACGGCCAGCGCTGCACGGCCATCAAGCTCGTCGTCGCCCACGCGTCCGTCGCCGACGCGCTCGTCGCCAAGCTCGAGAAACGCATCGACGGCCTGAAGCGGGGCCTCCCGTGGGACGCGGGCGTCGACGTCACGCCGCTGCCGGAGCCCAAAAAGCCCGCGTACCTCACGGAGCTCATCGCCGACGCCGTCAAGCACGGCGCCGCCGTCGTCAACGACCGCGGCGGCGACACGGAGGGCCAGCTCTTCCACCCGGCGCTCGTCTACCCCGTCACGGCCGCGATGCGCCTCTTCCACGAGGAGCAGTTCGGGCCCGTCGTGCCCGTGGCGACCTACGAGGACCTCGGCGAGGTCGTCGAGACGCTCAAGCACTCCG